CGCTGTTGTCGCCCTGCTGATGATGTCAGCGACGCGGTTTAATCGGGCACGCTTTAGTGGAGCGCGGTTTTGTCGTGCTACGGGGGTCTCCAACCTTGGCAACTTTAAGACTTGTGAACTTCAACCCCCATAATTCATCAGCCAGTTTTGCTTGAAGTCCACAAGTCTTAAAGTTGCCAAGATTGGAGAGCCCTGCCTTAGACTTCCTCCCATAACCCCCAAAGTACACAGGATAATAAAATGAAAAGTGAAAGCCCAACTGAAAGCCCAAGACATTATGCAGGCACAAGCTTGAGAACAGTTACGTACATTAAAGTCAACTTGACCTGGATTTCAGGATACCCAGCAACAATTTGCTCACCTGAATTTCTGACTGCATCAAGGATTCTGCTTCCTTGGACAGAAGGATAACCTGCTTGGAACCAACACCTGTGTCCGGAGCTCTGAAGTTGTGCCCAGCATGGAGTGCACTTAGTGGTAATCCCTTGTGAGCTGTGTCTTGCTGATGGGCACTTGGGGCCGCCTGGCTGCTGTTTTTCTGGATAACTGGGCTCATGTCCTTCTTTTTCGCTAGGCTCTTGGATTCAGCCTTTTCTGGGGAGATGAACTTGCTATAAAGGAAGCTGTTGTCCAAGCGAGAATACGGCTTGTCTTCCACAACCTTTCTGTCTATGAAGTTGGACAAAAGAGCCATCCCTGAGAGAACATTGGTTCTAATCAAGTTGGACGGATGATTTACAATCGTTCTGGGGGCAATGACGCCAGCCTTGACATCTCCCAGGCTTTGGTGAAATTTTCCAGGGAAAGGAGGTCCAGAGTCTTCCTCGGTCTTGCACTGCTGACTTTCCCAAAAGGATGATCTCCTGCCTATGCTGCTATCCCATGGTTTCTCTTCTTTATTGAGATAAGGGTTCTCGATCTCCTCCGTGTCTTCTTTTGCCAATCCTGGCTCCTCCCCCTTGGTTCCTGTTCCTTCCTCCAGGTTTTCCTCACTGAGAGAAAACAGCTGGTCTAATGCTATTGGGAAAGAAGCCTTTGACTTGGGAGCGATGTGGTTCTCATCAATAGGCGGGAGGACGGTGTGCTTGGCAAGAGAGGAAGGGCGTGGCGTCCTGGAGAGGGCCTTTGAAGGCTTCCGAAGCTCAGCAGGGTCCATGTTGCGCAGGGTGTCCACAAAATGCTCCATTTCCTCCACAGCTTCCTCGGGCTCCTGTTCTCCTGTCTGGCTGAAACTTCTCATTAAGTCACTTGGGGGTTCGGGCCATGAAAAGGAGCTTAGGCTCCCAGCAGGGGAAGTCTCTTGTTCCAGGGCAAATATCAGAGGGCCTTTGCCCGAAATCTGCTTTTCTTTCTTCAGTTCGTCATCCTGCGTTCGGGCTTTATGATCCCCTGGAGAACTTGGCTGAGATGCAGTAGAGATTCTGATTTCCTCTGCAGTGTCCAAGGGGCACTCATTTCTCCTCTTGGCAGATAAGCTGGCTTTTCCCACGCCTAGCCAGCTGCTCTCTTGATCTGGCCCGTTGGTTATTAGGCCTCCTGCAGTGGGCATGCCTCGCTCCTGTTCAGACCTGCTCCCTGTGAACAGGTTGCTGGGCTTCTGGGAGGCAGAATTGCTGGGCAGGCTGCCGTCTCTCTGGGCTGCGCTGAATGGAACTACTCCCTCCCTAGCGATAGCTGCCTCTCTGTTTGATGTGCAGTTGGGGCTCGGCGCAGGCACACACCTTGGCCTCTGGGCATCCCTCACATTGGCATTTTGAGAGTGAGTCATGCCATTCTCAGGCTGTGACTCTGGTGCGGAGAAGATGTGAGATTTGGGGAAGGAGGAGCAGGCTCTTTGCGGAGACTTGGCATGGGGGAGATCAGGCTGGGGTGGCCAGGATTCTTCCAACGCAGTGCTGGAGCTGGGAGCAAAGGGTTTCTCTCGCTGGCTCTGGCTGGTGTTTCCTGATCCAGACATAACCAACTCTCGCCCAACTTGGTAAATGGTGGAGCATCCGGGCTGAGGCACAATCACTTGCTGTTGGGCTCTAAAAACAATCGTGTTGTTCCCCTTGGGGCCATTCCACTGGGCATGGGATTTGGCTACAGTGCTGGAACAGACGGTGTTCTGGACTGGCTTGAACACAAAACGCTCCTCAGGAACTGCAGAGCTCGGGGCAGAGGGCGTGTAATTTCTCCCCGGAGACCCGGAGAATGAAATAGAATTGAGGGTGTTGGGAGAACTTTCCCGTAAGGATAGACGTGCCAAAGCATCAGCGACATTGTTTTCCTTCAGGGATCCAGTGTCCAACTTGGAGACATCCCCATTGAGCACATGGCCTTCTTTCTGGGAGACGGTTCCACTTGAGCTGTCATGAGAAAGGCCCAAATTCTCTTCTCGCAGTCCATTTACGTCTGTGGCCTGATTCTCTTTCTGGAATCCGGTGTCCCCAGGACTGTGCACATCAGCCGGAGAGTGTGTGGCTCCAGGTGATTCAGTCACTCTGCTACTGACGCCATCTTGCATCTCTTTCTTCCCCGGGCACTTCGGCTTGGGAAGTCGGGAATAAACTTGAGAAAAAACAGGTCCATGAGCAGTAAAATTTCTCTGTGGGTTGGGAGAGCAGGAATGCCCCTCCATTGCTGTGGGAGAGAAGCTTCTGGAGTCCACCAAGGAAGGGCAGACCCCAGCCTCTGCTGGGGATGAAGAGCGCCAGTTGTTTGCCGGGCAGGAGAAGAGTAGGGTATCTGGTGGAGGTGGCAAGCTGTTGATCTCTGCCGGGGAAGGGCACCTGGCATCTGCGGAGGAGGAAAACCATCTATTGTCTGGAGGAGGGGATGGATACCTGACATCCAAGGAGGGTGAGGAACTCTTTGGGACCGCTCGGGAAGGTGAGCTCCTGGCATTGGAGGAGGGAGACTTGCTCCTGCTTTCCGCTAAGGTGAATGGCCGCCTGGTGTCCACTGTTGAAGAAGCTGTGGTGCTTTCTCCGGAATACAAACGCCTCATATCAGTCACTGAATAGGAGGACCTGTTTCCTGCCAAGCAGGATGAGTGCTGGGTATCATCCAGGGATGAGAAGGAGTGATTCTCTGTTCTGGAAGGGGCATCTTTCCTCCCTACCGGGGAACGTGAATGGATGCCACCTGTCGGCAAGGGGGGCACATGTGTTGGCTTGGCCTTGAGTGGGGGAGGGAGCTGTGGCTTTGCTGGTGGTGGAGGAGGCTGCCTCTTCTCTGCCGGAGACTGGGACCTGCGGTTTTCTGCTGTTGTCCCAGAAGGACGCCGAGGATCAGGAGAACACGAACGCTTGGTCTCCTCCGAGAAAGTGGATTTCCTTCTCCCCACTGGAGAAAAAGACTGCTTGGCATTTGCTGGAGAAAGGCATCGCTTGGCATTCACAGAGGTCACGTTGGAGGGTAAGGAATTCCTATAAGCGGTGGGATGAAAAACATGGGCACCTTCTGGGGTTGAAATTAAGCGCCTGGTAGGTACGGGGGAACGGGAGGGCCTGGTTTCAGCGGAAGGAGCTGGGCCACTGGCGTCCGTCCCCACGAGTCCTTTCTCCCAGGCCTCAAGCAGCTTAGACACTTTAGAGGGGCTGCTGGCTCTGGTGTCTCCTCTTTCGACCTTCTGAGAGGCTGCCGACACTTTGCCAAAGGGTGTCTTCTTGACCGCGTCAGGAGGGTTTTTCTTCCTCCGCAGCAAAGGGCTTGAGGCAGGGCCTCCCGGCTTGTTTTGATGGGAGCGGGCAACTTTCTCCATGCTGGGATTAAGACAAGGCAGGTCTCTATCAGTGTCAGCCCCACTTTGAGGCTGAGGCTGCTTGTGGTTGCCTTCCCAAGGGGTTCCTCTGATTTTGCTGGAGTTGGAATGGGGAGGGGTGGGATAGGGTGGGATAGGGTGGGAGAAAAGGAAAGCAAAAGATTAGGCCTGGCTGGGTCCCCACCTAGATTGCCCCCCAAACAGATTATTCCATGTCATTTTCCATGAAGCCTGGCAGATTCCATCCTCCCTCTGGTTTCTTTGAACTTGACTTAAACACAACAGCAGCAACAGCAACAACAACAAAGCAGGCATACTGCAAAATAAGGGGGTAGCTTTAAAGATTATCTTTATTAGAGATGCTTCTGGGTCACTTCTAAAAAAACAAATCTAAGGCCTTGTGTGGAAGGGTCAAGGAAAAAAAAAACCAAATAGGCTGAATTAACAGAGAGCATTCGAGGTTGGGCTGAAGAGACAGGGAGCAACCTGGCTGATTTGCTTTTAATAAATGGGCCATTTGTGATTGGACTAGAGGTGGGTTCCTACCGGTTCAGACCAGTTCGGCCGAGTATATAGTAACTCGGCCGGATAAGCACCCAAACAGGTTCCATCCTCGGCGGTGCCATCTTGATTTTCTGTTCTGCACCTGCGCAGAACAATCTACATTGAAAAAATGTAAATTTTTTTCCCTTTTCTAAAGTTGTGTGTGTGCACAGACCTTTTTAGGTGCAAATACGCACACAGGCAGAATGTGCAAATATTTTTATGCGCCGAACCGGTAGTAATACCAGCAGGAACCAACCCCTGGATTTGACATCCTTTCCACGGCACCATATTGTGAGGGATCCCTAACAATGAAGTTCAAATTCTAAATGTGCTCAACAGACTAATTAGCCCCCCCTCCATTGGAGCATAAATGGAGACACAGACTTCAGAGGATAATTAGAACTGCAGAAAAAACAACTGCTACCAACCTGTCTTCCATTGAGGATTTGTACACTGCACAAATCAAAAAGAGGGATGCGAAAATATCTACAGACCCCCTCGCATCCTGGACATAAATTGTTTCAACTCCCATCCTCAAAATGAGAGGCTATAGAGCAATGCACACCAGAACAACTAGACACAAGGACAGTTTTCCCCTGAAAGCCATGACTCTGCTAAACAAATACCTGTATTTTTCGGAGTATAAGACGCATCCAGGTTTTGAAGAGGCAATTTAAAAAAAAAAAAAAGTAGGTAGGTAGATAGAGGGAGAGAGGGAGAGAAAGAGAGAGAAATGCAGTAGGTAGGTAGGGAGAAAGAGAGTAGGTAGGTAGGTAGGTAGGTAGGTAGGTAGGTAGGTAGGTAGGTAGGTAAAGGGATAGAGAGAGAGAGAGAGAAATACAGTAGGTAGCTAGGGAGAGTG